GTATACTCATACAGATGCCCGAAGGCCCACAGACAAAGTTATTCTCTATAGCATTGTTTGCAAAAGGAATAGATTAGAAGCAACTAAATATCTAGCAATAGGGAACCAATTAAATAAATTATAGTGTTTGTCTTAGTCTGCTAGGGCTGACTTAACAAAATACTACCAAGTGGGTGGCTTTAAAGAACAGAAATGTACTGTCTCACAGTTCTGGAGGGCAATAGTCCAGATCAGGGTGTTGGCCATGTTGATTCCTTCTGGAGGCTTTGAGAGAATCTATTCCACAGCTCTGGCCTAGATTTTGGTGGCTCTTGGCAATCCTTGGTGTTTCTTAGCTTGCATCTGCCTCTGTTGTCACATGGCTGTCCTTTCTCTGTCTCTCCGTGGACCTGTTCTCTTTTATAAAATAGCACTCTGATGGGATTAGGACCTACCTTACTCCAGTATGACCTCAAGTTAACTGATAATGTCTTCAAAGACCCTGTTTCCAAACAAGGTCACACTCACAGGTACCAGGGGTTAGGACGTCAACATATCTTTTGGGGGACACAATTAAATATGTAACAGTACTTTAATTCTATGGAATACTATGCAGCCAAAAAAACAAAAAAGAGTGAGGAGGTTCTTTATGTGTAAAAGGGAAATACATTCTAAGATATATTATTAAAGGGGGGGAGTAGGTATGGGGGAGCATTATGTAGTATTTGTGTGAAAATGAGTGAGGGAGAAAACACATGCAATTGCTTACACATGCATAGGATACCTCTGGGGAGGAGGGCTGGAGCTCAGGAAGGAACAGAGGGAGTCTATATCATTTCCACCTGGAGCTTCTTTCTTTCTCCCCACTTCCTTCAGCTCAGCTCCACTGGCTGGCAGTTCTACCAGGGCAGGGCCGGCTGTGAAAACCAGCAGCTTTGCTGTTGGTGGGGGTTAACTTGATTTGGAGGAAGCGTGGAAAAATGCCACATTTCTGGACATTGTCAGAAACAGTAGCGACCCTGGGGTGAACAAATTGGGAAAGCCAATGTCATCGCTACACTGAGGCTGTGATCATGGTTGGGGCAATCTACAGACTGAAAGGTTAGTCAGAAATTTAACAGAGAGATCTAGAGAATGAGACAGCCTTAGTGGACTTTGATGAGTCCCTACATCTCACTGGTGGTCTGGAAGACTATGTGCATGCAAGAGCAAGAGGAACAAAGCTGGAGGACTCACACTTCCCAATTTCAAAACTTACTATAAAGCTACAGTAATCAAGGCAGTTGTACTGGCATAAGGATAGACATATAGATCAATGGAACATAATTGAGAGTCTAGAAATAAACCCTCAGATTTACAGTCAATTGATTTTCAACAAGGGTGCTAAGACCATTCAATGGGGAAAGAATAGTCTTTTCAACAAACGGTGCTGGGACAACTGGGTCTCCACATGCAAAAGAAGGAAGTTGGACCCTACCTCACACCATATAAAAAAATATATCAAAGACCTAAATGTAAGAGCTAAAACTATAAAACACTTTGAAGAAGATGGGTATAAGTCTTCATGACCTTGGATTAAGCAATAGCTTCTTAGATATGACACCAAAAGCACAATTTATAAAAAAGTGATAAATTGGACTAAACCAAAATTTAAAACTTTCATGCTTCAAAAGACATCATTAAGAAAATGAAAAGACAGGTCACAGATTGGGAGAAAATATTTGCAAATTGTATATCTGATAAAGGAGCCCTGGTAGAATAGTGGTTAAGAGATTGACTGCTAACCAAAAGGTCAACAGTTCGAATCTACCAGCTGCTCTTGGAAACCCTATGGGGCAGTTCTACTCTGTCCTGTAGGATCGCTATGACTTGGAATTGACTCGATGCAATGGGTTTTGTTTTTCTTTAATTTTATTTTTTTATTGTTGTGCTTTAAGTGAAAGTTTACAACTCAAGTTAGTCTCTCATACAAAATTTATACATACATTGTTTTGTGACCCTACTTGCTCTCCCTGTACTATGACAGCACACTCTTCTGGATTTCCTGTGTTCATTCAACCAGCTCCTGACCCTCTCTGCCCTCTCATCTCACCTCTGGAGAGGAGCTGCCCATTTAGTCTCATGTATCTACTTGAACTAAGAGGCACACTCTTCATGAGTATCATTTTATGTCCCACAGTCCAGTCTAATCTTTGTCTGAAGAGTTGGCCTCGGGAATGGTTTTAGTTTCGGGCTAACAGAGAGCCCGGGGGCCACGTCTTCCAGGGTCCCTCCAGTCTCAATCAAACCATTAAGTCTGGTCTTTTTACTAGAATTTGAGTTCTGCACCC